AGAGAGAGAGAAAGAGAGTGAGAGAGAGAGAGAGTGAAAGAGAAAGAGAGAGTGAGAATGAAAGAGAAAGAGAGAGAGAGTGTGTGAGAAAGAGTGAGTGGGAGAGAAAGAGAGAGGGGGATGGAAATGAGGAAAAAAATCAGCGACGATGTTAGTAGGATGACGAGCTAATGGGCAAAAGGGTAGGGTTCACAGAAGGCCTTTTGCTTCCTTTTTATTATTATCCGTGATTTTACGCCAAACCGACACAGTTCAGAGCATTTAGGAGGCCGGCTTTCCAGCCTGACTGCCAGGGCCAACCCGAGCCGAGAGGGAAACAATACCCTGGCAGAAAGACCGAGATACTCGATAAAACAATACCCTGGCAGAAAGACCGAGAAACTCGATAAAAACAATACCCTGGCAGAAAGACCGAGATACTCGATAAAACAATTTCTTCCCCTTCGGGAATCAAACTCCGGTCTTCTGTGTGCGACAGCGAAGCGCCTACTACCCAGTGCAGACTTCCAATCGAGCTCGTTGCTAGCCAGATTTTTCTCCATGGAAGGTCAAAAGGTGCCATCGTGGCAAACTCGGAACAAAATAAATGCGTTTGTTTTCAAGGCTGGGAGTCCAAGCCGCCAGAAATCGACCCAATCCGAACCGAATCGAATCGATCGGGTGCTGCCAATGGGCACCGCCTATAACCCAGACGCCAGTTGACCTACATCGACCTACATAGTACCACCAGAGAGTGTTTACAGTAACACTGGTAATACTGTAAAACTCTCTGATCATACTGTGAAAATCCCAGTCCCGACAAACTGCGACAGAAAGTAACGAGGTGCAACAAGGCAAGCGAGCCGAGCCAATCAGCGTCTTGTGTTAGTCCGGGCAGCAGACGGTCCAGCCAATCAGTGTGACGTAACGTTTATCTCGTCCAATCAGACAGGAACCGACTTACTCCTTGCAGAGGTGACGCAACGCCACACAGCCACCAATATAATAAACATTGCAGGGGGAAACTGATCCTTGTGGGGAGAGAGTGTGTTTGTTTATGTGAGTGTGTGTGTGTGTGTGTGTGTGTGTGTGTGTGTGTGTGTGTGTGTGTGTGTGTGTGTGTGTGTGTGTGTGTGTGTGTGTGTGTGTGTG